CTTTTCCAACTTTTCTTTCCCAATGATGAAATCTGTTATCATAGGGTCCTCCTGCAATTTTTCTTGTCTTCGCTCGTGTCTAAGCATCTTTTATAAAATATAACATGCATCATTATTAGACAGTCAATTTTACCTTAATTATTAAACGAAGTCCAATTAAAGTAACTTGGAAAGTAAACAGTTGAACCCTGAACAGAACGATGAGAAAATTGTAGCAGAGTCTGATTGAACTGGCACAGTTTGCATAGCATTACCTTAGAGTTATTAAGAGTACCACCTAAATTTTAGAATCCAAATGGCAGACACTAGAGTCACTTTTATTATCTGGAAGGGATACATGCATAAATTTGGTCTTCCTTTTTCAATTTTGGCAAGGTTGTTAGCTATCATTTGATTCAACTGTGTGAACTGTGAGATACTGTATACGGGAAATATTTCGCTGGTATTTAATTTCGCAATTTTCGCGATTTTAAGAAATTTGCGATATTAAATTTTTGCGAAAAAGGGCGCAGTAAGGATGTGGTCAATTACAAAATTAATTATGGGCGTGTGTGACCAGGCCCATGAAATAAATCCAGCGTGTACAAGAGAAAATGGCAACATTATTCAACTATTTTGGAAGAAGGATCCTTTACCTAATCCAGAAGGGCCTTTAAGAGTTCCTGAGAGTGCTATATCATCAGCTAACAGAGAGGTAGAAGCAGCAATGGAGAAAAATTTAAGTGACGACGCTAAAAAACGTACTCGAGGAACAAATGACAGGTTTACACTTAAAGAAAAAGCAGTCATTGCTTGTGCTGGTATAGATATTGGTGTAACCAAGACTGTGCAAATGTATAACAAAAATTTGGTTGATCGAAGTCTAAAGGAAAGTACTGTTCGTACATGGGTGGCACAGTATAAAAGAGAGCTTGAATTGAAAAAGAGTACCGGTATGAGCTTAGCATCTCCCATTGTAAAATTGGAAATTAAACGACAAGGACGTCCCTTACTTCTAGCAGAGTAATTAAACAGTATACTAGGGATTATATAGCAGAGTTAAGGCGAAAAGGTGGAATAATGAATTCAGAAGTTGTCATCAGCTGCTTTAGGCATAGTTAAGACGCATCATTCAAATTTATTAGAGTAATGGTGGTCACATTTTATGCAGTCAGAATGGGCACAGAATTTACTGAAGAGTATGGGCTATGTTAAGAGGCGGGCAATTACAAAGTCCAAGATCACCACGAAAGATTTTGAGGTAATAAAGGAGCAATTTGTTTATGATATTGAAGTTATTGTAGACATGCCTGATGAATTCGTGATTAATTGGGATCACACTGGGATCAATTATGTCCCAACAAGTAACTGGACTATGGCGGAGGAAGGTAGCAACAGAGTTGAGATAGCGGGCTTAGGAGACAAAAGGCAAATAACTGTTGTTTCGGCGTGTTCATTGAGTGGGGATTTTCTCCCTCAAGTTATATATGCAGGAAAAACTGCGAGATGTCTACCATCAGTGTCTTTCCCTAGTACTTGGAATATAACTTTTACCGGCAATCATTGGGCGAATGAAAAAACAACAATAGAGCACATTACTAACATTCTTCTTCCTTACATTAAAGCAACATGCCAAAAGCTCTCTCTTTCACCTACTCATGCAGCCCTGGTAGTTTTTGATCATTTTAAAGGACAATGTACTCCCACTGTTCTAAAGCTTTTGGCTGATAACAGTATTGAAATTGCAATTGTTCCTCCAAATTTAACTGTTTGATTGCAACCGCTCGATATTAGTATCAATAAATCAATGAAAGAGCATTTACGTAAGCAGTATTCTAACTGGTAGTCTGAGAAATTAAGCAAACAGATTACTGCTAACTCTACATCTCCAGGCGAATTAAGAATGTGCAGTCGATTTAAGCCTATCTACACTTAAGCCTCTTTGAGTGAAATGGTTAGTGTCAGCATATGGCTACTTTAACGCAAACAAAGATATCATTGTTAATGTTTTCATT